ATTTTTATTCGGGGGATCACCGACAATTTCGAGCTCACTGATGAGTTAGCATCAATGCAGTCAATGAAAGATACAACTGGAGAAGACCTTTTGGAGGCAGTAAATCGGTGCATCTCGAACTTAAGAGTGGAATTGAAAAAATTGGCGAGTGTGACCACCGATGGAAGCCCAAATCTGACAGGAAAAAAATTTGGGTTGTTGAAAAGAATTCAAGATCAAGTCAAGGAAACAAATCCAGAACATAATATTATTTTTCTTCACTCTTAAGAGTGGAATGGAAAAAATTGGCGAGTGTGACCACCGATGGAAGCCCAAATCTGACAGGAAAAAATGTTGGGTTGTTGAAAAGAATTCAAGATCAAGTCAAGGAAACAAATCCAGAACATAATGTTATTTTTCTTCACTGCATTATACACCAAGAGGTCCTCTGTAAGAGTGTTCTAAAACTAAGCAATGGTGTGGACACAGTTACGAATGTGATCAACTACATTCGAGCGAGAGGATTAAACCACAGGCAATTTTTAACTCTGCTCGAGGAATTTGAATCCGAGCACACGGATGTCCTCTTTCGCAACAATGTAAGATGGCTTAGTTTGGGAATAGTTTTGAAAAGAGTGTGGGAATTGAGAGCAGAGATTGCTTTGTTTTTGGACATGAAAGATAAAGATTCGGATTTCCCACAGCTGAATGATGTGGATTGGCTCCCTGATTTTGCATTTGCCGTTGATATCATGGGGCACATGAACGAACTGAATTCAAAACTGCAAGGGAAGGGGCTTTTTGCTCATGATTTGTATTTTTTTGTCAAGCCATTTATGACGAAATTACTCCTTTTCTCCCGTCAGATAGGAATGAAACAGTTCCCCCACTTTCCCACTTTGCAGCAGATTACTGTTTGTGATCAAATCAAAAGTACACGTCGTCCCTGCTCGACTTGCATGCTGAATTTTCCCGCCAATTCGAGGACTTCAAAATGATCGAAAATGACCTGTCTTTCGTCTCCTCACCTTTCTCCTTTGATGCTGACAAAGCCCCATTTGACCTCCAACTCGAGCTAATCGACCTGCAATGCGATGCACTGCTTGCAGAGCAATTCAAATCAGTGCCACTTCCTAATTTTTATGCCTCCCTCAATGAACAGACCTTTCCAAGAGTTAAAGCTCATGCTCGGAAGATGCTCGTGCTATTTGGATCAACATACATATGCGAGAAGACATTTTCTGTGATGAAATTCAATAAATCAAAACATAGATCTGCGATGACCGATGACCACCTATCAGCAGTGCTTCGCATTGCAACAACTGAGATGATGCCTGATTTCAATTCCCTGGTTAATGCACATCAGCGCCTTCATTCTTCCCATTGAGTGAATTTCTCACATTCTCATCAATATGTGAATAAATAAATAAATGTCTGCTCAATAATTTGTTTTTCTTTCGCCAAGTTTTCAATAAATGTCAATTATATTCTTCATTTTACGTATATAAAAGTGTAAGACTTTACATTGAGCTATTTTTATGCAATTGCCTCTTTACGTACGCTTGCGGCCCTCGAAGCTCATCAAAACTCATGAAGTGGCCCTTTAGCCAAAATAATTGCCCACCCCTAATGTAAAGGGTACTCTCACAATAAAAAGTGGCAAGACATGTTACGAACTGCAAGACATGTTACGAACTGCAAGACATGTTACGAACTTATTTAAAGTTAAAACTTTACCTTGTCATCCATTTTCTGAAACCAGGAATCCATAACATATTGTACCTGCCCAGCCGGCGCGACACCCGGAGTGGCCAGTCCTGTTTATGAGGGAATAGCTCTCTGAATCGCCCTAGGGAGGCCGCAGCATATGCATGACCACTAACCTTTGATAGCAATCAAGAGATCTTTTTAACCCTCTAGATGTCTATTATTCTCAGCCACCCCTAGACTAGAGGGAATGAATAAATTTTAATCCAGTAATTTGGCGTCCAACCGCTAAGAAACGATGACCAGTACTCCAAGATCTAACGTGTCTGAGGAGTGAAGTTCTTCCCCCTCCTCCCTATCTGGAGGAAGAGGAGCTAATTCAAGCTCAATTTACCGCTTCTCGTTCACGGGGGATAAGCATCCACCCATTTACCCTACAGGATTAGACATTCCTGATTCCCCTGATCCCTTTCGTCTTACAGTGTGATTGGCCCCCGATCGCCTTATACTTGGATCATTGATAGATTGCTTGTCGTATTTATTGTGTAATAGCTTCATCACTTAACGGCATAGTTTCTCCAGTTATCCCCTTTGTGCGATCCTGACCGATGTAATCCATAGGAGCACGCTGCCGACCCCGGACCCATCCTGAGACCTTCTTTGCCTACTCTCCACTGTCCCTCTTTTTAATTACACCTCGACATATAACAGCCGTGATCTACACAGTGTTGTGATTCCCACCACCAGTAGAGGAGAACGCACGGAACCGTAACAATATCCTAAATTCCATGACGATTTCGTCCCGTCCCCGAAGAAGATTCGACCGTCTTGCTCTTCCAAGTAAAATTTATTGAGTTCAAAGTTTTCGAGATAAATGTGCGAGAAAAAAAAAACATCGAACAGCAGAGCGGATCTGCTGCAGCCAAGAAAGTTGCGCAGAATCGGGTATCCCTTACTAACATTAACCAAACTTACGTGACTCCCGAGTCAAATGAAACCAAGCCGGTGCGAAAATACGAACAGCAGCCAGCAAAGTTACAGCAAAAAATCTGGCAAACCCAAACAGCAGCCGATCATTGATACGAAGGCGTGTGCGCTTTGTTGAAACTCATCATTCTCTTCATGCTTTGTGAAGTTAAGGACCATGCCTACGTACCTATCGTCTATATTCACTTCACCTTCATATACAGTGAGGGACAAAACTGTTGCAATGTTCAACACATTGCCAGTTTATGACTCATATCTCGAGTATGAAGTGTTCAATTTAGCTTAAATTTCAGTCAATCATACTCCTACTTCCTGGCTTTCGATTGGCGCTAGTCACATGTCAATTGGCCTCCTATTGTCTAAGTGGCAGTTCAAAGCGAACGAGGTCATTGAAACAGTTTTGTCCCTTTCACTCAGGCATACGAAAAAACGAATTTATTAATACTTTGTGTGCTTGCCTTTGGTCTTCAACACTGTCTAAACCCTTCTGAGCATGCTTTCATTCAGATCCAAGCATGTTTAGATTGGAATGGCGTCCCAATCAGTCTTGACCCGCTGCCAGAGCTCGTGGATGCTGACGGGCTCATTCTCGTACCTCGCCAGCCTCTGCTTCAAATGTTGCCACAAGTGCTCTATTGGGTTGAGGTCTGGCGACTGTGCTGGCCATTCTAGGACCTCGATTTCATGGTCCTGGAACCATTGGCGAGCCAGCCGCGAGGTGTGTTTCGGATCTTTGTCCTGCTGAAACACCACCTCTCCCACTTCGAGGCGGTAATGCGCCAGTGTCTGGAGCAACTTTTCCTGGAGGTTGCTTGTACGTGGGGGTATAGAGCCTGGCATCCATTCTTCCTTGGATTTGACAGCCAAACCCGACTCCTTTGGCCGTCAAGCAGCCCCAAAACATCAGACCACCTCCACCATACCTGCGGGTCTCCCTCACGTGTCGCTCTGCTAGGGCTTCGCCGGGCTGTTTCCATGTCCAATCACGCCCATCCGACCTCATAAGGTTGATTTTTGTCTCGTCTGACCAAATTATGCGTTTCCAGTCCTCTACAGTCCAGTGTTGGTGGCGACGGGCGAATTCTAGCCGCTGTCGGATATGCCGCGGCTGGAGTTGCGGCTTCTTTCGCTTGGTTGTTGCCCTCAGACCAGCTTCTTTCAGAGCTCTGCGAATAGTTTTGGCACTGCATTCTACCGAGGTGCTGCTTTTGAGCTGCCTCGTCGCTTGCACTGCTGTGTCAACCTAACCCGATGTCACCATCCTGACGACTCTGCGCTTGTCGGCGGCGGAAAGCTTGGATGGACGCCCACCATTTGTCTTTGAAACGCCGGATCTGACTTGAGAACGCACCCGGGATACGGTGCTACAGCTTATGCCAAGCTGGGCTGCAATTCGACGCGTCGAGAGGCCATGGTCGACGAGTGAGGCGATGCTGTCGCGTGTTTGTTGGGAAACAGGTTTCATGTTGCCAGGAACGTTCCTAGTTGCTTACTGTCTAGTACCTACGTCAAAATTGCCCCCCACCTTTTTGCCTGTCCATGAAATGCTTGCACTGCTGTGTCAACCTGACCCGATGTCACCATCCTGATGACTCTGCGCTTGTCGGCGGCGGAAAGCTTGGATGGACGCCCACCATTGCTCTTTGATGCGTCGGGTCTGACCTGAGAACGCACCCGGGATACGGTGCCATAACTTATGCCAAGCTGGGCTGCAATTCGACGCCCTGACATCCTGAAATGACATCCTGCATTCTAAATGGTTGGGGAAAGTGTATTCATCTATTCTGAGTTTTCCATTTGAATCTCGCTTAGTCTTCCAACAAAATACATCGTATTAATTTATGAAAGACTCTTTTGGGGAGATAATGACATGCCCCTAACTTCTTTCTCTCATTCATTTTAATCACATCAATGATACCGATTGACTAACGAAGGATTTCATAATCATTATTTAGACTCAGAGGAGGGAAAAATTACATTCTATACTCAAATTTCTAAATAAAGATGTAAACTAGTTAAAATAAGTAATTGAATCCGTAGTTGACCTAAGATCAGGTATTCTTCTTATTTGTTAGTACATCGAACGTAGATCACCTGCCATATGAGGTTTTCCTAGAAGGGAAAGGGAAAGGAAAGCTTCCGTGAAAACCAAGACTATGGAGAAGGATTCAGAAAGTTAATTAAAATTTTGTTTAACTCATCTTCGGATTTCCGGAATATAGAGAAATGTGAATTTTTTCCAGGTGTGTCTTTTCATGTATGATACAATTATAAGGTATAAAAAATGCTTCAGAATTATATATATGACTGATTTCGCGATTGCGTCGATGACAAGGTGACTATATCATTTTTACTTAGGTGCTCTGACATTCCTCAAGGTTCACTTCACTCGAACTTTTTAAAGGAATGTTGGTTCCTGCTCGTTCTGATCAGCTGTATTATGTCAAGTTTGCGAAGTTCCTTCAAGGTATCATTCTGGTCTATGGTAGTTGGGTACCTTGCTGGGATCGCAAATGTGATTAGTTTAGCTGTTTATGGGATGAAAAACAAATGTCGCTCTCTTCTCACAGCCAGCAGCGCCACCGCCCACTGCAGGGGGGGTGAATTCATTCGATAAGCACTGTATGTAAAATTGAACTCGTCATACTCGAGTTATGAGTCATAAACTGGCAATGTGTCGAACATTGCAACAGTTTTGTCCCTCACTGTACGTCACATTGCCGAGATTTCCAAGCAATGCAATGGAGATGGGAAAGCGTGCTAATTGAATCACAAGTGGAAAACAGTAATATGTATGGACGACGTGACGGGATATTGAACATGAAAAAAATTAAAAGGCACGAGAATGCCTGCAAAGGTGATGGTCAACATCTATGATCTTAGGATTAGGCTGAAAACTAGCATACTTAAGGAGCAACATATAGATGTCACGGCAATCGTAATTTGAAAGGGAGTGACGTGTAGCAGCAGGTTATGGCGCTTCCCACGTTCTCCTACAGACCGCGTGAACGTTTCCTCATTGTTTTAGTTTGTGGTTGAGACAACCCTTTCCCATAACCCTTTAACCAGCATGCCGTAAATTTTACGGGCTCCCGTAACAGGCGTCTGTGAAATTTGCCGGTCAAAGGGTTAATCATATTACATTAGACACTTGACAAATCCTTGTAAAAGCTCTCTTCCAGCCGACTCATCTAAAGATGAAGGGAAAGGAAAGATAGGTATTCAGGCCTATACAACAAATTATGTATTGGCTTTCAGATCTGGATATAGCATGTTCTTCAGCTTAGCATTGATCGCACAAACTCTAACCAAGGCTACCCAAATTATCATAGTGAAGGTAATTTAATATCAAGATTCATTCATATATTTTAATTTTATGAAAGGGCGCATTTTGCATCTGGTAGGAAATTCACTGTTGTCTTGATTTTCCTGTTAGGATGTGAGATGATTCTTTCCCTGAAAGCCCTGGCTCCCCAGTAGCAGGGAAATTCATTTTTCCCCCCAGGATTCTGGGTGTCTCCTGTATGGTATTCATTTTTGTGGTCAGTGAGTTGACAATCAATACGTGCATGGGCCACCCATTCTAATGGCCAATCATGTTGGGAAATATGCATGTCCCCATTCTAAAGTCCACTTGAGGACTGACATTCCAACAGCCTGTATGCACTGGATGCAGACAGAAGCTATGGCACATTAATGTATGCCAGCAGATGATCGATAGAGTGTCATGTGCAACTGTAGATAACCAAGGCCCAAGACAATAAATGTGTGAAGCAGCAAATTGGTCTTTAACACATTCACTGTGGGACCAAATGCCCATAGGTACAGAAGGTAGGTTGTACAAGTCACTGGTGACTCATAAAGTAGTGAATGTACTAGTACATTTGGTGGCAACACGTACAATATTAGGTATTTATTTTGCCTGAGAGGCATGGTAGCTGATTTTACAGTGTGCCTTAAACACACCATAATTGTCAATGCTGTGGTGACACAGTGACAGAAGCAGTGACTAAAACTAGCATCCTCTTGATATATACCTTTGCATTATATTATCTGTTGACATTTCTGGGGCAAAAGGAGCATCTCTGTTCCAAAAAAATCCTTGACAGTCAGATGTTAATTTTCCTTTGCCTCATTGTGTTGAGCATATTCATTTAGAGGCATTTCACACTCAAACCTGATTATATTCCTTGTCTGGAAGACTTCCTGGATTGCTTTATGACAATAGAAGTTCTGTCTCTTCTACCTTTACTGACGGAAGAGCAAGAATTCCATACAAAATGATCATATGTGGTAGTTATATGCAGTTATCTGTACCATGTAAACAGGGTGTTACAGAAAAATGTATACACTACTCTCTCCTTTCAGCAGTTACAGCTTTCTTCCCAACAAATGGGTCTGGCCCCATATGAAAGGGTAAAGACTGATCTTGTATGGCACAAGGGTTGGTTCTACCTTGCATGCTAATGAAAATACCACTGTGTGAGTGTAAATGTGTCATTGTTGAATACAGATTAAAATTGACATTTTTTGTCTATTTGCTCCAGCATATTTTATTCTCAGCATAATAGAGAGATATATTTTGTATTTTCAATGTTATTGATGTGACAGTGGAAGTGCCAATTCTCAGCATAATTCCTGAAGCTATATTTTATGAGATTTATAAGGATGAAATATCTTTTGTGTTTCAGACCTGATCTGGTCATGTCTTCTATCAGGCATGACACATATGCTCCACCATATACAATATTAGACATTCCATCTTACCTGCTGCTCCATATATTTGACATGTGTGTCTTTCATTAACACATTGGCAGTTACCTACATTTTGGCTTGAGATCCCAAAAACACCCAACTGTATTTCAAGTGGGCTCAACTGTGATAGATATATATATGCCTATTTTCCATAAAATAATTTGTGATTTTTAAATTTGGGAAGAGTGATGTCATCAACATAAACATCAAATCCTCCTGCAAATGGGTTAGCTTCTGTGCCCAATGGGGTTGAGTGATTTCTTCATCATGTGCTGACTGCTAAGGCTAATGTAGGCTCAGTGCTGATCCTATTTAACCAAGAAAATTGGGAAACAAAGCTGCCATAATTCAAAATTGCCAAGATGAGTCATGTGACTAAGATCAGAAGGAAAATGTTTTTAGTTATTCTGTTATCTTCAAGGCACATCCACACAGAAGCCCTCAGCAAAAAGGCAAGGATGCAACCCATTGGTATGGGGTACTTAGAAGGATGTAGAACATGTATATTTTACAACAGTCAATGCTTGCTATTATGAAATTCAAGGGAGGGTTGTTCTCCCTTCATTATAATGCATTTTTGTTAATATGTTATGACAAAATTTTGAAAAAGTAATGATATATTCTCTGCACCTGAAGGTGAAGTAGAAACAAACTAATGTGTACTGTAGAGTATGCTTGGACATGGGGATGACTAATTGAATGCACAACTGATTGTCTATGCATGTGTGAAGGTAATATGTATCACACTACAATCAAAACCATGTTCCTGTGCCATTATTGGCATGTTATAGGACAGAATCAGCATGAAAATTGTGATTTCATTATAAAAACTTGCTTTTGCAGATTAGTACATGAAATTTATTTCCTTGAAAGGTATGTTTCATAATATTGTAATTTGTTATAGCATTTTATGATTTGTTCAGGGAGATGCTGGGGCCAACCAAATGTTGATTAATTTTTCATTAAATGGTGTTTTTTGTTAAAGTGTGCTTTGTTACACCAAGCACATACTGTACTATTGTTTCTTTTCTGGTACCTGGAAGTAGGCTAGGTCTATGTCATCCAACTGAGAGCTGCAATAATTGCAAGAACTCCAATTTCATTCCTTTGTATTGCTCCAATTTGTTTATTTGCAGGAAACAAGTTATGCTGGAATTTGGAAGTACTGGCATTTCACTGGACCTTATGCCTATGCTTAGGATCATGTCATGAAGTTCTCCTTCACACTGTATCCAGCAGAAGTGTAACTGGTCAATGACTGACAAGTGTGACTTCTCAATTGTGGAAACGGGATTGATGTGACAGTTTTCTTATATTGTCTGCACTGCATCGATACCCTAAGTTATTTGCTGAAAATGTTTCAAGTCACAGACATTCAAAGTAAGTTAAGTCACTCCTGAATTCTAGGTTTAATGAAAGGCATAGATAGGCATTTGTCATGGGAAAGGCATGGAAAAGAGAAATATATTTTATTCCTCTGCATCATATACAAAAGATAGATTCAAAAAGTTTTGAGAATGGGCTTATTACACACAAACGGTGAAAGTTATGGTACTTTTGCTGCGTCACCTTCAAAGTAGTGCCCAAAGCTTGCTACACACTCTTGCCAACATCTGTAAAGTTCCTCAAAGCCAGACTGGCAACCATTTTCAGCAACCTCATTCAATGCCACCACCATTATCTTTCATTCTTGGGAAAAGGCAAAAGTTGTATGGTGAAGAATCTGGGGAGAGGGGGGTGTGACAGTACAATCATGCCAGTGTCTGCCAATAACATTTAGTGCATAACATTTGGTGACAGTGAGCCCAAGTCTTGAAACTTTTTGAACCTAGTAGTAAATCATTTCTATTGGTTGTACAATAATTTAATGTAGGAGTCCCATATATGATATGCTGCTCCAATAGAATGATACTCATATAAAGGATTAGAATAAGAGTAAGGCATTACTACTTCCCATGTATTACCCTTCATCCCACCTTCCCCTGTTCTTTGGCACAAGATTGATATGTTTGACTCTGACAACCACCCATGGGTATTGGAGTCAAATGGAAAATGCTGCTTTTATTAGAAATGCAAGGATATTGAATTCTGATTTGTATCTGATGTGGTACATATTTGGTATAATGGAAAAATATTTAAGAAAAAAAAAACAGAACCAACACCTGTATCTATATCAGTGGTGCCCAACCTTTTCGGGTAGGGGGGCACCGAGTTCACTCCCACAGCCATCGTGGGCCAGTCACTAGTATTGTAGGATACTATTTTAAGGAAACATAAAGATATTTATCGTGGGCCACTTTTTTCCGCTGGCCATGGGCCATGGACCACAGGTTGAGCACCTCTCATAATATATCCATACATTGATGCTATAAGAATTGACTCCGGTGAAGACATTTATAAACAAATAATTTGTACCATGAGAAACTTCATGCTAAATTCACTTATAGATTAGTGGAAATCACAAAAGCAAGAGATCCACCAGAAACAAATAGGCATAAGGAAAAGGCCTAACAATGCCCCTGAAAGATTCATAACAATCACAGACAATAAGATCACAACCTTCCAATAAGAGAATCCCATTGAGGGGCAATGGGATTTCATAGACATGGCAAGTGAAAGCTACTAATCATGTATAAATACCTCATGTACCTCATGAATAATTTACAAAGAAAAAAAAATCACATTCTCTTATTGAGGAAAGAATGAGGTTCACATGATCCAGTGGTGAAAAGAACTGTCATGATCTCCAAACTTGGAAAAATTCATTCTGTATATGTGAGCTGGGACACACCTGAAATATTGTAAATTCATGTACTCTACAGCAATATTGAGAATACTGTACAGGGTGTTCCGTTCGGGTATGGATAAAATAAAAACATAGTAACATAGCAGCTGTTTTATTGATTCAAAATTTAGTACACATTGTATACAAAGATGGGAGTTTCAGATAGGACCCATCAAGGCTCAATATGCCCCCCATGACGGACATGGCACAGCTCATAATGCAAGGCCAAATTTTCCCACGTTCAACATCTCCAGTGTGATTTGCTGGAAAGCTTTGACAATCTTTTCCTTCAAGTCATCAATGTCTGTAGGTCATTGAGCATACATGGTGTTCTTCACAAAACCCCATACAAAGAAATCAGGTGGTGTCAAATCTGGTGAATCTTGAATTGAATTGAATTGAGTGAATCTTGGGGGCCAAGCAATGGGTCCACCATGACCACACCAGTTTTCATTGAACGTTTCGTGCAGATAATCACAGACTTCTAAAGACCAGTGCACCATCTTGCTGGAAAAAGACTGTGTTTGCATTTTTTACATTGTTGTGCATTCACTGCCATCGTTGATACTGCCATGCTATGAGTTGTGTACATGTGTGGTTACACCCTGGGGTGAGTTGCATAACAGACTCCCAAGTCTCAAGGACAAACACAAAAGATGAGTGCAGTAACACTCATAGCTTTGTTTTTACAAAGTTTTACTTTTATCCATGCCCAAACAGAACACCCTGTATGTCATCAGATGACACTTATTGCTTTGGTAAGGTTGAGATAGCCAGTGTTATAGAAAGGTTAAACATATTGAGCAAAATCGGACTTTCTGAAGGAACCTTGGGGCATTAATGGGTGATTGAAAATTATGTTTGCTGGATGTCACAAGTAAATTCATGCAAAATGCTACAATAGCAATAAATGTTATTAAATTATATATTCACAATATTGTAGATGTATGGATGTATTTAAATTTTGTAGTGTGTCCCAATTCATATATACAGGATGCATGTTTCTAGATTTGGAGATCAAGACAGTTTAGGATAGGATTAATTTCCAGAAATTCTACTATCAGCATTTTTCTAGCTCCTCACAAGTTACACTTAGAAATGTAATGAAGACATAAGAAGAAATGGGCAGTGAAGTATGGAGATGTTGATGATGGTATATCAGAATAGCTGGGTAATTTTCATATTCTAAATCATTTGAATCAATGTAGTATTAAATAGTATAACATTTTTATCATGTGTGTATGTTTCCCAAGCAGTGTCAAACCCATAACATCAAGTATAATAGAATTTCCTGCTCAAACATGATCAAGGTGGAATTAAGCACTTGATGGTGAATCTTGCTCGAGATGGTTGAGGAAAAAATTTCTCAGTGTTCAGGATTTCAGAGTAACACATTCAAACTTATTTGACTCACAAGAGCTTTGAGAGATCTATCATTCTATGGGATAAGCATAACTGTACTTGAAAGTTATTGAAGGTCAAAGTTGAACAAATATGTAAAATTTGCAACTTTACACATAGTAGAATGTTTTACTTAAAAACAAAATACATGTATCTTGGGACTAATCTCATAGAGCATGACATAGACATAGACACTCCAAAGCTGGTCCAGTTACATGCACTTTTACTGTGAATTTTTTGGGTTGAAAATTTGATTATTTCATTAATTTCATAAAATTGTACTTTTTTTTCTAATTGTGGCACAGAAGAACCTGTAGAAAAAAGTTAGAGATGCCTGGCTATTCACTTTAAAATGAGCTATTAATCATCTTTCTGACTAAAGTATTTTGGGAGATATTGCATTTGTTTGAGGAGTCATTATACCATTCCCTCTCAAACTTTCAAGGGACATATCTCAAAGACTGTTTGACCTAGACAACTGGAATTTCAGATTCATCTGTTTCTCATAACCCCCAGGCTTACAAGATAATTAAAGGAATAGATAATGTCAAGTGTGGTAGGTTTTTCCAGTTTGATGGCAGCAAGAGAACAAGAGGTAACCAACTTAAGTTGCGCAAACCGCAGGTCGAGATGGGAATTCTTTACTTGCAGAGTGGTGAATGCGTGGAATGCGTTAGATGACGAAGTAGTGGCTGCCCCGTGCTATGACTATCTTTAAGAAGAAACTGGATGCTTTCATGGACGGGCAAAAAGGTGGGGGGCAATGTTGACATTAGGTACTAGACCAGTGGTTCTCAACCTTCCATTTACTCCCATTGAACCTTCATGCATTCAGGGGGGTGACACCTCCCAGGTTGAAAACCACTGTACTAGACAGTAAGCAAATAGGATAGTCAAAAAACAAAGAAACAAAAATATTTAGCTTTAAGAGGGTTAGGCCTACCCTAAAATTAATCCTAAAATTAAGGAACGCTCGACCTCGACACGTGATATCGAAATGGGTGAAATTGCCTCTTGATATCACTAACTATCTTGAATCTTGAATCAGTACACATGATATTTAATGGTTAAATCCCAGTCGGTGCAGCCTCATGAAAATTGACATGGAATGACTCCCATGTCTACCTCCCTCTTTCAGAGGGAGTGAATCTTATGGACTAACCATTTTAAAAGTTAATGTTTTAATCTTCATTTTAAAAAAAAACGAACTTTACTATAACAAAAACCACCAACCCTTTAATAGAGGCCAACAGGTTTCTATGACCATGCATTCTTTTGCTATTGTCACCTCAGTAATTAGGGACATGCTTCATACTTTCAAATTGCTGGCTTTGCAGAAATAGGAGTTGGACTGGCAGGATTTGGTCTGGCATTTCTCTTCCTTGGGATTGTGCTTTTCTTTGACAAGGGACTGCTAGCAATAGGAAATGTAAGTTTTTCCATTTTAATATTTAATTTCATTCCTTCCCCCTCCCCCTCAGAGTGGCATACTAATATTATGAAGTCTTCTAACAATTGAACAGATGAATTGAATCATACTCATGGTGTCACAACAATGTTACTTGTCATTTTCCAGATTCTTTTCCTGGCAGGGCTAGGATTCCTTATAGGGTTGGAGAGGACATTCCGGTTCTTCTTCCAGAGACACAAATGGCAAGGCTGTTTAGCCTTTTTTGGAGGCATTGTCATTGTTCTTATAGGATGGCCTATTGTGGGCATCATAGTGGAGCTCTATGGCTCTTTCCTTCTGTTCAAGTAAGTTGGTAATGTCATGTTATTGTGTATTTTCCAATTTTTCAAATATTATTTTCTGAATTTCTTTTTTTTTTTTACAAATTGCTAAACCTGAGTAACCTTTCCAAAGACCAGCCCCTGTTTTGGATATTTAATAATGGTATAAGAATGATGCCTAGTCATAGGGTCTGAAATGTGGTTTCTCATTTTGTTTCATAGAAGTGTTTTCCCAGTGGTGGTGAACTTCCTTCGAAGATTGCCTGTGATAGGAACCTTCCTCAATCTTCCTTGGTTGTCAGGGGTACGTGAGCCTGCCTCTTGATATTTGGTGCTTAACTTATTATGTCAAAGAGGTAATCTAACACTAAAATTGCTTTAGTGTAGAGGAATAAAGTGCATGCAAAAATGGTGACTATATATATTTTATTATTTGTCCTATGCTCAGGCATAGCACAAAGGGTACCATTGATGAAATATTGAATTGCTTCAATGATTGGATGTTATTTATTTTTGCAGTATGTCGAAAAACTGGCAGGAGATCATCGGACAATTGTATGATAAGTGCATTGAAGATAGTGTGAATGTGAAAAGCTGAGGGAACATAAGTGCTCTCCAACACAATACTCCCAGTGTGTGAACACATGCATTATCTATATGGTGAACAATTTCATTGAATTTGAGGGCTATTTTTTGTACAAGAGGGGGATCATCTCATACCATACATATGTATAACTTCATCTTGTAAAGCCAATGTTACTTCCTTATTTAAGTACATGGATAGTTTATTTTTTCAATTTGTAACTCCTACATCCTCATTGCATATCCAAGTGCCTCTTGAATTAATAGTCTGTGTTAGGTTTACTCTATGGAGGTGTGACTTGAAAGTCCCAGTTCTCGTAGTGTGTGATATATGCCAGTGATTCTCAAACTGGGGATTATGACTCCCTGGATGCATGAAGATTCAATGGGAGTGAAGGAAAGTTTGAGAACCACTGATATATGTGAATCATGGATTGGAGCCTGTGAGAAACCTCTGTATTGGGATCAAATGTTAGAAGATTGGCAGAATTTTTATTTATTCAGTTCCCAAGTCCTGAAACTTGTCAACTTGAAATTATGAACAATCATTCATCATGAGCATCTTATCCAACTGCAAATGTCTTTATTTCACGAAGGCATGCTTGGTTGGCCCAGCTCTTTGACTTCATTGTTTAATTGTAATGAAAAATCAGCTAGGGTTCAAGTTTCACATATCACACATAGCATTTCACTTGCCCTCTTACAAATCATTAAAGGCATATTCTTATTTCAAAATTTCATTGCACTTTCTTGTGTTTGATAAATATGTACATTAGCTAATTTTGAGCATGTCAGTCAATTCCATTCTCTCCATTTTTCTTCTTCTGTGTGGTATTATTATTAAATACCTCTCCTTTGCACAGTCAAGATGCTATTTTTAGATATTCATATGATGCTGCTGTACTTTCTTATGAAAAAGTTTTTAAAACTGTTTGCCTCAAAGGCAGTTGATAACATTTTTAAGCTTAAGTGTAATTCAGAGAGTGAATTGTGCTCTTGAAAGAATACTGTGTGGATGAAAAAAACCCATCACACACATCATACAACACCAATGCATAATATTTCTACAAGGTGCAATCAATCAGTGAAACATGAACATACTTTAGGTTTATTCATGATGGATGAATATGGGGTCACTTTTTGAGATAGTTCCCTCACGGTATGCACCCAGTTGCCAACTTGTACTCATTGAGTACAATTGCAAGCTGTGAAAGATGCCAATAGAGTATCCCAGAACCCCTGGAAAGCAGCATCACCTAATGCAGATCTGGATCCATAATGGTCCCTTGTAATGATTCCTTGAGAATCCCAAAGAACCAGTGTGCCAGGAGCCAGGTCTGTTGGGGTAAGTTCTATGTTGAGTGAGAATGTCCCAGAGAAATGTCACCTAAAGTGGAAGAGCATTGTCTTCATGAAGAATGAGTCTTGGTGCAGTACGTCTCTTTGCTTCTTGTGCAGTGCTGAAACCAGGTGCATATCTATCAAGATGACATTGTAATCACCATTTGAAGCAGTTGAAGCTTTTGCCATCGTTATGATTGGTACTCCTCCTCCCCTTGCCTCTGACAGGGATTTTCATATTAAAAAAAGCAAGAATCCATGCACAATGGTCTCTCAGAATTTCTGGATCCACTCTTAATTTTGGAAGAAGTCAATTTATAGAATAACTTGTCTTCAAAGATTTTAGACTGATTGTGGCCTAGATTGACAGTGTGGTGTAGGGTTTTCAGTGAACTGGGTATTAAGTTCATAGTGAGCATGAATAGAAGGATATCCTCATCGGCAGGCATATTGGATGGGTGTAAGGAATTTGTGAATGATCAGAAACTTTTCATTTCTGTTGATGGAATTGGATGGGATGGCTTCTGCATATTTTTTTTTCCTAAGAATAGGCCTGGATAGGGTGATGGCAATCATAGCTATGGCTGTGAGCAATTGAGAATGATGAAGTTAACTCTTATTTCTGCCAAGTTGTGTGAGGCCATGTTTTACTCCCAGAAATGTGGAAAATTACATCCCACCAATTCAGCAGAATTCAGACATTAGAGGTTATTGGAATTCAGAATATTTTCTAAAGCTGATTTGCAAGTAGGGAACCTGCTCATGATATCTACCCATGCACATGCCAGAACTGGGAAATTTGTCCAACCAGCTTAGTGGAGTGGCTTTTTAAATAGAATAATATTTCTATGTACAGGGTGGTCCACAATAGTCTCCCCAAAAGTAAAAGCTTATTACTCAGGAAATATACATCAGATTTCAATTATATATGACTCAAATGATAACCAATTCAATATATTTTTATTTTGGAAAATTTCAGCATTCCATAAGAAACTAGAACAAAGTTACACCATAACAAATGAAAATACCCATATCATGCAACTAATGTCTGTAAATATCACAATCCCTTCTGAATTTTGCAATTCCATCTTGAGTTTCGCAATTCATTTGTGGGTTTTTCATGCGTCGCAAGGGATTATCTGTCATGGGTGACCTCCGTATCCTGCAGAAGACAAATACTGCCATTTGGTTTGAAGAGAGCAAATTTGTGTTGGGAAAATTTGGAAATTTCTTCAGCTTGGGTTTAAATGCCTCAGTTCCTGATGAGATCATGAAGGCAATTCATAAGAGGTTTTTGAGCCTGAAGAGATTCATCAGTGGACCTATGACAACCTAGATATGCTGAAACAAGCCATTAGAGATGCCTTCATGACAATAGGACCAGAGATTATTGAAATTATTCTGTTGGCATTCAAAGAGAGACTGCACCAAGTCAATGACAATTGTGGAAGTGATATTGAACATGGGTGATTTGGCGGCTTTCATTTGTAAGGATGTAACTTTGTTCTAGTTTCTTATGGAATGTGGAAAATCTCCACAATAAAAATATATTGAATTGGTTATCATTTGAGTCATATATCACTGAAGTCAGATGTATACTTCCTGAGTAAAAAGCTTTTACTTTTGGGGAGACAATTGAGGAGTTCTCTGGAAAAGGGGAATATGTGCAAAAGATGTGATACAAGATAAATGCAAAAATTTCCCATTGCTGATCTGCTGCTGGTCAAAAATCAGTTTCCAGTCAATGGTATCTTGGACCTTTTTCCAATTGAACTTGGGGTTTCAACAAATTTCTTTATCTCTCATTGCTGGGATGTAGGCAGAAAGTGTTTATGCACATATGCCCCTTTTCCATATCCAAGCTGCTGGAACTTTCTCCAGCCAGCCTTTCACCACTTTTTTCAATTAAAAATTATAATTTACCAATAAATAAATCAACAAGTTTCAAATCAGCTCTTCCTCAAAAAATGACAATAAAAATGTGAAAATTCAGGAAAAGTTTCATTCACCAATTATTCATCTGTGATCCATTTTAATTTATTCATCACTTGAATCTCCAACTGTTTCATGGATGTTGCTAACTTCTTACATTCTTCCAGAGGTTTGGATGACTGGGCCTTTTTCCCTCCTTTCTTCCTGTCTGGTTTCTTTCTCATTTTCAGTTTCAGTTTGAAAGAATGGACTTATTCCACCAAAATTGTTCAGTGATGCAGGTGCTAATGGAATATTCATGGAAGCAGCCATATTGAAATTGTCAAGCAGTGGGCCTGCCATAAAGTGATAACAGGAAAATCTGCATCTCCTTTGCTGAATACACATCTTAACTAACTGCTGACCACCCTATCCTGATGTCACCTGAAGCAGCACATGGAAAAAAGGCATATGGGCACTTTTTTGGACACACACTTTTTCCAGAGAACTCCTCAATTGTGGACCACCCCATATATACTCTACCAGGATTTTTCAGCTTAAGAAATATGTACTTTTGGCACCTTAGGTGTAAAATGACTTCAATTAATTATTCCTGAGAATATCATCTATAGTCTATTCAGCAGCAAAAGACACACTTGATTGAGGACAAAAGATTTGATTGATGGGGCGATGAGAGGCAAGGAGTCAGAGATATGTGTATATCTGGCCTCAGGCAGGTCATTGGGGGCTAAAGGTTTATGACATGCTTCAGTGTTGTCAGATAAAGGACAGCATCTTTCAGTCAGCTGAGAGAGATCCATTGGGATCCCCTTTCACCTGATTGAACAAAAGTCAGCAACACTGATTTTCAAGGAAAATCCCTCCATTCACCATGTCTCAGGTGATGAGCATAAGTAATATTTAATGACTGGGGCTTCCCTGTTACCTGTCACATTGAAGCCATGTGTCTTTCAAGGCTGAATAGACTATATCTCCTGTTGATAGCTGTCAACCAGTCAGAAATAGAAAAGGAGGCCTTATTTTCATATTTGGCCACCTTTGCCAAGTCAGAATTCATGGCATGAGTCAATTTGGATATTTAAATGAACAATTATTAAAACATGGAATTCATCAGTGAGGCATGTAAGTCAAAACTTAACCAAAGAATGACACTGAGAAATAAATTGAATGACAAATACAAACATGTGATTAGAGGTTCATTAGCATTTTTTTTTATTGCAATGAATGAATCTTAATGTTGAAGTTGCTGAGAAATGAGAATCACACAGTTGTCATGTGAACAGGACTAACATCCTGACCTCCCCAATATTTGGCGATGGTATTATGGCTCCTTTACTGCCCCCCTTTGTCTTAGTCTTTCACATTGTGTGCTCTGCACAGTTTCTTAGATTTCCATGACAAACCACTTTGAACCCACAATGTTAAAATTCCCATCATTTTACCCTAGAATATAAGTAAGGGAAATTGGAAACATGCCAGAACAAAAGTGTGTTGGTATGCAAAAATCCAAGCCCAATTTACAGAGTCACATCACTGAGGTTTTTTTTTCCACAAAGAAACCAACACCACATGCACATGGTAACCATCTCCTCTCAAACAAATGTGAAACACCTTCAAGCAAGGATTCAGCATGAAAAAAAAAAATGCTTGCAACATTTGAAAAATACTTTCTCCACACCTTTCACAATCTACCTTTTGGTGGTTTCAAATGAACCATCCATTGAGATTCCTACATTTTCCTCATGGCTCATATGCATGTCTTAGTTCTTTGTCTTTTTCCAGTATTTTCTCCCGTACAAATCAAATGAAAACATTCATTATGTATACATTCTCCACATTCATTGATGCAGCTACACTGTAAGGTCCTCCTTGCACTTGACCCTGGTGATGTAAGGATGGATAGAAAGGAACTAGTCCAGGACCTTCCAATGCTTCCATCATATCATGGTCATCCATTAAATTTCCTTTTTCACTTTCCTTTTTATTCTCATTGCAGCTACCAGTCCCATGTTTGAACTTTTGCAACACCAACAGTTCACTTGTAAACAGTGTTCTGGATTTTCTCTCCCTCATAGCATTTTGGGTACTCTTATGTGTCTGTCTTTATGCCATCCTTCCAGCCAGTCATCTGTTTTTGGTTTGTCTTCACAAGTGGGTCAAGGAAACACTGCTTTCATCAGTCAGCATCAGGGGAAAATGAGTGAAGCTACCTCAGGAGACTAAGGTAGACTACCCTTGAATACAAAGGAATTACTTTACAGGACAGACAATCCCAAATCCAACCTCCCAACTTGCATATAATTTTAAAATAAAACCAAGAGTAGTTGTCAATTTATGATGTTGGTCCCTTGAGCAACTTAGAGAAATTAATCCCATAGGAGTCCAATAAAAACAAGAGGCTTCTGAGACAACAACAACTTTAATCAATCACACTATCTTCTGGTTGTTTGTGCTTTTTTACCACACCAAGCCATACCACCTTCATGCTAGGCTTGTACCAATACAACAATTTTGCTGATAAGCAAATTCCTGATAAAAGGAATGATCAATACTGATGCTGGTCTTGGTGCCTATGTATGGGTTAGGTCTATTTTGTGCAGCTAATGTCATCAAGATGACATTAACTTGAACATGGTGCATCATTTCTATGTGAAGCAAAAAATGTTGATTGAAATCATGTGTTTCTCCAAAATCACCAAATATCACAAAAAATAAGGTTCCAAATCACATCAAAACTAGTCATTATTATTAGATTATTTTTCACAAAAAGAGTTCTATGAGAAGGAAGAGAAATTCTCTTCTCTATGAGAAGAGAATCACATCACTTCTGGTTTGGGGCATTCTGAATCTAACATTAAAAAATCCAAATGAAACAGTATTGCTTTAGCATTCCACATTATTAAAATTAGAAGAAAAAAAACATGGAGACTTTTGCTAGGATAGGCATATAGGACTTGTATCACAGGCCCATTCTGCTGCATGAGTAAAGGCTATATGTAGAGGTCTAGGCTTAATATTAACATCTGGCATCTGCCCATTTAATGGGACCAAGCCTATTCAAAGTTTCAGCATTTCATTGAGTAAAAGTCAATAGCAAGAGCTCCTTAGAAGATTCAATGGAAATGCAATTAACATTTAGCAGGAAGAAGTCCTGACCATGTGCTTTTACCCTGTTTTCAGATTGAATTTGTACCCACCCATCCCCCTATGGTGGAGGTGGGAGAAAACACAACTTTCAGGGGATCCATTTAATCAGATGATCCATGAAACTACTAGTGAATGATGTCACTATCTGCAATCAATGGAAGTACACTCCTGGGGGAGAGAGAGGGTGTATGCAGATTAAATCCAAAAGCAGGATAATTCTCCCCAGAATAAATGTCGATTGAATCTGCTACCAGCTACCTCTATAAGTTCCACGGCTGGCTACAAAATGCCAGGAAATAGAAGTAGGAGAAGAGATGTGATGCTTGAGCTTACAAACATAAAATACAATTTCATAACTGGATAACCAGAGGGCCCAAATATCAGTTTAGCCAGTTTCATGGGAAATGGCCTCAATTGGTTGGTGTCAGACCTCTGGTCAAGGGTATCAGTACAACCCAACTTATATACCATTTTTTGATTCAAACTAAGAATGCCATATTGCAAAAGGCAAAGAAGGCCAACAAATAGACCAACATTTAACTATAGATAGATAAAAAATACTCACTTGAGCTCATCTCTATTTTTGGAAAATAAAAATAATCAAATACAAGAATTACAAACATGAAGTTGAACACATCATATAGCACAAACAAGTAAGCTTGCCATGGTGTACTTATCCTAATAATTGTACATCACAACTTGTACATGGAAATGAAAAGGAAAGCAGGAAGAGTGGAGAAGCATTATCCTGTATAGTATTGCTTGATCCATGAACGAATATGAGCCTTTTCAATGAGCCTTGCCTCACGTACAGATGGAGGGTCAGCAGGATCTGAGGCCCTCAAATCCAAGTGATGTGCTGCCTCAGGGATAATCAAGGCAATAACAGAATCAGACACATTTTTCAAAATTCCTCCTCCAGACCATGGATCCAGAAGACCATTCCTGTTAAGAAAGAAGCAAGAAATCCTTTTTAATCCCATTGAGAAGGAATATCAGAATAAGAAGAAAGTAGCACTGACGAAAAAACAATGTTTGAAGCATATTTCAGATCCTTTCCTCCATAAATGATGGGAACCATGTAGGGACGAGGGACTGTCCCAAAGAGTTTCTGACAGTTCTTTGCAAACTGACCATAATCCCATGCTTCAGGTTCAAACATATCATGGATCCCATCACTGCACATAGGCATCACCATCTCAGTGCAAGCCTTGATGAGAGAGTAGTCACATCAGTTTCACTCAAGAATTTTTGTTTCAACATGAACATGTGAAATGTACAAATACCTGATAGTCCCATCCTTGAGTGCTCAAGCCATGCATGTCTGCATCCCTATATTCCAAGCAATTCTTCTTGCCAGTATAGTTAAATCCAACTTGGATAGCATGGTTCAGCTGCATGAGAAGTTCCTTAGGTGGCAATTCAGGATTTCTTAGACGGTTACAAAGCTCCTGGATTGGTTGGAGGCCTTTTGTTAGCAACCCTCAAGTTTTACAAGATACATAAAGAAGGTGACAATTCTCTGTTGGAGATTTTAATGACTCGCCAAGTACACAATTTTCAATGGAGAGTGTTGAGTGACACATTTCCAGAAAGCTTGTCTCGTGCAGTTTTGTTAACATGAGGGATCAATATTTGCTAGAGCAAAGGGTCTGGATAGTGACCAAATTCACGGAGATAGGGTCAAACTGTGGGAATGCCGAAATCAAAACAGAGGGCATCTGGAACACATTTAGCATAATTTCAGTATTATTTGTCAAATTTCTTTGATATCAATAAAACTGCAGAGCTTTAGCCTTAAATTGAGCTATTACACATTAAAATCAGTAAATTATAAAAATGAGAGCTTATGAAAATCAGTAACACTAAAAATTGTCACCATGTATGAAGAAATGTTTTACCTTTATTGGATGTCCAGGGATTTCTAGAATGAAATTTGTAGGATAAGGATAGTTGACCATTGCCAAGTTTCCATACATTTCTACAAGCCATTCCTTGAGGGCAGAAACATCTGTTGTATTCTTCAGTGGCTCACATAGTTTCCATGTTTCAGTCAACCAATGCTTCCCAGTTTCTAGAAAATTAAGAACTGGGACTTCAATTTCACAAAATTTAATTCTTCTGGAGAACAATGAGACCTTAACTCAAGGCTCAAGACCATCAACTTCAATGGTATCATATTATATAAATCTACTAGCTGAAGTACCTGTCATTACCTGGGCAAATTCAATATTTCAATATAGAAAAGTACCCTATGAATGAAAATTTTGGATTGAAGCATAGCCCTTGACCTTCCCCTGGATGAAAGAGGAGGCCATGCAAAGTTTGGTTGCACTGGCAACTGTGGGGTCCAAATGCATAATGGAACAGACAGACAGACAAGCTTTCTTCTTTATGTATAGAGGTGTGGCTATTAAGTTTCCAGACTTTATTTTATTATTATTATTTTTTTAACTTACAAATTAATCACATTTATTGCCTTCAAAGTACTCTCCTCCAGAACTTATACACTTATCCCAATGATGCTGCAATTGCAGGAAACAGCAGTGGAAGTCTTCTTTTGGGCTGTCTTTCAGAGCCTGCATTACATTTGTTTGAATGTCTTCAATGCTTTGAAATCGGTGGCCTTTCAAAAAATTTTTGAGTTTGGGAAACAGCCAAAAGTCACTGGGGGCTAAATCGAGTGAATACAGTGGGTGATCCATTTCAGTGATCTGTTTGGTGGCCAAAAACTCTTGGACAAACAGGGCTGTGTGAGCCAGTGCATTTCGTGATGCATGATCCACAAGTTCTCCTTCCACAGATCGCCCCTTTTCCTCCTCACAGCCTCACACAACCTCTTCAAAACGTTCTTGTACAACATCTGGTTGACTGTTTGTCCTTCTGGCATGAATTCTGAGTGGACAATTCCGTTGACATCAAAAAAACAAATCAGCATCGTCTTGATTTTCGACTTTGACATTCAGGCTTTTTTCTGTCTCGGTGAATTAGCAGTTCTCCATTAAAGGGATTGATGTTTCATTTCTGGATCATATTGATAACATCATGTCTCATCTCCAGTGATGATTCTTTCCAAAATATTTCCTTCTCCAGCTCCTTCTGAGAGATCCAAACAAACGTCCAATAGCCTTTGTTTTTGTTCAGCTGTCAGCAACAGAGGCACCATTTTTGCTGTCACCTTTCTCATGCTCAAATCATCTTTCAAAATCCCTTGAACAGTTTCTTTATCTAAATTCAACTCTAATTCTAATTGTCAACCATCTGAACACAGCAAATCCATAACTTTTGAGACATTTTCAGGTGTTCAGGTGTTCACAATGCTGGTCATCATTGATGTCTTCTCTTCCCTCTTTAAACCTTTTATGCCACAAAAAACTTGCACTCTTGACGGTATGATCACCATAAACATTTCAAGCGTATCAGTTACAGATTTCCCCAGTTTAACACAAAATTTGACGTTAGTTCTCAGCTCGAGATTATGCTCCATTTCAAATCTACCAGTGGACACAAATATGGACTACCTTAACGGGCTGCAGCTTGCAGCGCACTGGTCAGACCACACTGAACTTGCCCGGTTATTAGCTAAGGCTACCCTCCATGTTACTGTCATAGCCCCACTCCCCTCCTCTCTCTCAAAGTTCAGCAATAAAACCAGTCTGGAAACATAATAGCCACACCTCGTATAGAGATAATGACCTGCAGATGTCTATATAATTGAATATTGTTCAAAGAACAACAAAGTTTCTCAGTTGACATTTACCATCAATAACTCATTGAAAACCTAATTTTTTGTGACTGGCCATATATATTTGATATCTTTAGGGCTGTCCTTTGATCTGACTCAAATGACCTTAGATCTCAATTTTGGAACTAACTTTCTGCACAACACCATCACTTGAAAGCCCTTGCTCTCTGCTGAAACATTTTCTGCATTTTAAAAATATAGTCATTTGATCCATCTGCCATCTATCCATTTGATCAATGGAGTACAGTGAGAAGCAAATCTGGTAGCAATTTCCATGCACCTACTCCAGTGCTACCCATGTACAGCCATGGCTACTGCTCAGAGACTGCAGCATAAAAATCACACACTTGAATTTTATGCTGCAGCTCTGCTTCCAAATTGTATTGAGAAGTGAATGTCATTCTCTTTACTGATTTATCTGGGTCTGGTCTTGAAAACAATTCGCAAGTGGATTCAATAAAAAATATTCAAATGAAAAAGACATTATCTCTTATCCTTATCCTTAACCCCTTCAGCAGTATGCCTGAGAAATTCTCAGGCTTCTCTTGTAGGGTGTCAGCAAACCTACCACTGATGGGGTTAACAATCCCCAACCAAGGATTAAAGTTGAAGGTCACCATCTAAACATTCCATTTGTGCATGGGGTTTTGATTAGTACAGTATATAACATATGGCATGATACATGAAAGGGCTCACCTGTGCTAGTTTCATTGTCAATGAATGCCCAAGATCTCCTGATACTCTCACTGCATTTAGAAGATGCATTCCGAAATGATTTTGTGACATGCATATTGAATGTGTCACATGGGGTCCATCCCATGAACTGTAAGATAGGGGCTGAAGCTGCAATTGCCCTGTGGCACATAAAAAATATGAAATCTCATATTGGTTATAAGCACACTTGAGCACTCAAACCTAATCAGGGAAGTGAGGGACTGACCCTTGAACAATGTGAGGATATTTTATGCGAAACCAAGCAGCAAGCATGCCACCATATGAGCCACCAAAAACAATCACAGGCACAGAGTTGATTCCAGTTATGTTTTTCTTCAGATGTGAGATCAGTTCAGCATAATCAGCTAATGCTTGCTCTGATGTCAGGTATCCTGTCAACTTCGGCTTCTACGTTTCAGACATGACAATCAAAATTATCCATGAAACAGAAACAATATCATCTCCCCTCATACTTAATATGCTTAATATATGTATGCAAAGAAACTGACTCTGAAGGAATCCTTTCCATAGGGCAAAGACACACCATAGTACCTGTGCTCTGCAAAAACCAGGAGTGCTCGAAACTCAGGTGCTATTTCCCACATGAAACCCTGACATAAAACAGATAGTCTCATTGAGTTCAGGGACTTTTCTTCTGCACATCTCAAAAGAAATAGAAACTTGCAGTGTTTTCTGCAAAAAGAGTGATGTCTCCCTCATTGCCTGCATAGAAGAAAACAGGTCCTCTTCCTGGTTCCCAATACTGATCAGCAACAAGGTAACGCTGTTGATATTTATCATCATTGGCAAAGCTAAAATGATCAACCTAGGAGGAAATATTAAAATTATTGCAATTTTCCATATGAAGAAGGAAACGTCATGGGAGTAAATGAACATACCTTCTGTTTAAAGAAGTAGGTTTTATACTCATATGACTGGAAATGCTTTTGACTAGTGAGGACCATAAGGAGAGAGAGGAACAGGAACTTAAACCATGGGGAAAGCATTTTGCAGAGTTCTTTTCCCAATGCCTGTCCTCTCTTTGCACTATGATCTGAAACAGAATCATTAATTACCTGGTTTCCTGCTTAAATTTTTTTCTCCAAGTGATTCCTCAGGCATTCAGGGAGGGCTGGGGTCCTCCAAGCTGAGAAGCACAGCTTCTGCTGCTTAGAGATAAAAACTGAAGAACAAGGTTCAACCATTTCAATTGTTTCTTTGCTTCCATGGCTGAACCTTTTTATTTTTGGTGTACTGAGCATGAAACTTCCACACAGTTTTCCACACGATAGTTGGTTTGAGTTTATTGATGTCAATAAAACCTTTGTGAAAGACTTAATTGTGAAAACAAGTTGAGAAGTGAAGGCCACACCCCACAACCATACAAAACACAAAAACAGAGTTGGAATGAAAACAGTTCAATCTGTCCAATGGCCTTTTGTGCCTAAATGCAAAGAGGTCTTTGTGGCATGCACATATTATAAAATACTTTGTCATCCCAGAAATCAGGACCCTTCCATGAGCACCATCCTTTTGATGTCACTGTCTTCAACTCATCCTTTCCCGTATAGTGGGGATCAAGGATGAGGAATCGAACATCACCTGAATCTTCATTGAAAATCACACCAAGAATTGTGTAAGCATAGGCACCACCACCTAAAACCAGACACAAATATACTCTGGGTTTGTCCATTCTGAATTGTAGCACATTCAACAACATGTCAAGTAGCACTCACCTATCATAATTGGTGTGCCATGATGCTGAAAATGAGCCATAAGCTCTCTTGCTTTGGAAGGCATTTCTGATCCAGAGCTTACAAAGAGAATCTTTGATGTCACACCATATAAAGTCTCCAGAACAAAGCCCACCTCATTGGAGCCAATCCAATGAGAAGATCCAACAAAATTTCCAGGTTTGTCCCCAATATCAACAAGGCATTGCTGAATGGCATGATGAGTAGGAATGGGATTTTCTGTATAGCCTTGCAACCTGCATGAAAAACAAGGAACCCCTTGGCAGCATCATCAATCAACCCAAACATAACAATGAAAATAGTCATACCTAAACCAGGACACAAGAGTCTGCAGAGAACGATATGCACAGCCCCATCCATTATCATCAAATTTATCCTGCATGTAGTGATGATATGCATATCTTCCTTGTACTGTACTCATGGACCCACCAACTGTGAAATGATAAAAAATATCAGTTGATACAGACACTTCAATGTCCATTCACCTTAGAAATTAATTACCAAGCATAGAGGCAACAAAATATATGTATGACTTGTTAACAGACTCATCCTCATTTCAGAAAACAATTGCAATGGGGAAATGAGAATATTAGTCTTCATTCATGCAAATCAAACAATTAGAATAATCTGATATGATAATGAACCAATAAGGATTCCCATCTGTTTTTACTTGCCTCCCAGATTTAAAGAAAATTCTGGGAATATTTTCACACTTATGGTGCAAGTCATCCTGATCTAGTCCAAAAGAAAAGTCGGATGCATTTATTGCTTCTCTTCTGCAAATGGCAAAATGTTCTAGATGGTGGTGACTGCCTGCAGCCTACACTAACAAACATTAGATATTGGAACAGGAATGAAGGCGAGCTTGGGTCACCTCAATTATGAATTCTGGATCAATAATAACTACAGTATGCGGCGAAAAAATGGCTACACTTATGTCCAGATTTATAACTTCATCCAGAAGTGGAACTGGGCCACAAGAATTTTTTCTTAAGTAGAGGTTGGGTGATTCTTTATAATTAGTTCTGAGATTTTGAGATTTGTTTGCATTTAGTTGTAATGGATTCCAAAAGAGAGGCCATCATTAATTTGTCTCACGCTGGGAAGACCCCCACCCAGATTGCCAAGGCCCTGAACATCCACAGGGTTACTTTGTACAAGTTCCTCAACAAATTTAAGGCCACGGGCAGTGTCAAGAGGAAGCCTGGAAGTGGAAGGCCACATTTAGCAAGGACTCCGACGACGATCAGAGTGATAAAAGGAAAAATCCAGTACAACCCCATCCGGTCCATGAGGAGGATGGCCGAGGAAACGAACATGAGTGAGAGGATAGTCAGGATTGTCAAAGAGGATTTGGGAGCCAAGTCAAGGGCCAGGGGTAAGAGGCAGCTCTTAAATGAGACCTCCAAGGCTAAGAGAGTAGCAAGAAGCCGGAAGCTTCTCCAGATCTTCAAAAAGAGAAAACCAGTGATTTTCTTCACAGATGAGAAGCTCTTTTGCATCGACTGTGCCTCCAACAGCCGTCATGACCACTACATCAGCAATCAGAGGCCTCAGGATGTCCCTGAGCACATCAAGTTCATCTTCAAGACCAAGCATCAGGCCTCTGTGATGGTCTTCGGGTTTGTGGCTTCAGATGGTAAGAAAATGCCCCCAGTCTTCATTGAACAGGGCCTCAAGGTCGACACTAAAGTGTACATTGACATCCTGGAAAAGTCTGTCAAACCTTGGATCAAGTCCAACTACCCTCCGGACACCAACTATATCTTCCAGCAGGACGGTGCCCCTGCCCACACTGCGAAGAAGACCCAGAAGTGGCTGGAGGTCAACTTTGTGTCCTTCTGGGACAAAGATATGTGGCCCCCCAGCTCCCCAGATCTTAATCCCCTGGACGACAGCGTGTGGGCGCTTGTAGAGGAGGCTGCCTGCAACAAACCCCAATCATCTGTGGCAGCCCTGAAGTCCTCCATCACGAAGGCCTGGTCCAACATGAAGGAGGACTACATCATCAAGATGTGCTCAACCTTCAGAGGCCGTTTGAAGGCTGTAATCAGGGCTGATGGTGCCCATATTGAGTAAAATATATTGTCAGGTGTTAAATCAACTATTTATAATTAAATACATTTATTTTGTAAAATCTCTCCTTGTTATAGTTCTTGATGAGGTATATCTGGACATGAGTGTTGCCATTTTTTTGCCGCATACTGTACAAATAGTAATTCTTTGGGAAGCACTGAAGTCAGAGATTTCACTCTCTGATAATTTCTATTTCTATTCCACTCATGCATGTTCACTTTTCAACAATCTTGATACTCCCTTTTGGAGGAAAATGGTGAGTCTTCATGACACCATTGCATGGATTCAGGGTCAACAAGTCTTCAGCTTGATCTCAACAGCTGAAGCAGAGTGATGCTGAACTATTTTTAGGTGGAGTGCATAAATGGGGTTTGTACTAACCCACACAATAAGTGCCTAATCACAAACAGCAGCTAGTGCAAAGTCTAAAGAAGCAGTTTGTAGGTGAAAATCACTGGAGATGAACACATTGAATTATGAGCTTGTTTAAATAAGCTTTTTTTTTTAACAGTAATAGCCAATAAAAAAATTTTCAAAAAAATAAAAAAACAACTGTTGATGTAAAAAATTATTCCTGCTTCATATAGTGTGCAGGTCAGCATCTATCAGGTGTATGCAAAAGTTCTTGCAGTTTTTTCCCCAACTTTTATTTCAAATAATTCAAATAATAACAACACCATCTAATCAAAATATTCCCCTTTTGAAGCAATGGTTTTCTCCCATCTATTGGGCAAGTCGTGGATTCCGTGCCAAAAGAATTCGCTGTTTTTGGAGGCAAAGAATCCCTGCACCGAATTTTTACTTCTTCCAGCTTCTTGAAGCTCTGCTCACGCAGGTGATTCTTGAGGCCCCGGAAAAGATGGTAATCTGAAGGCGCCAAGTCTGGGCTATCAGCCGGGTGTGACATCACTTCCCATCTCAGATCCTCGATTGTCTGGCGAGTCGATCTTGCCACGTGTGGCTGGCGTTGTCATGCAGCAAAATGACCTTGCGCCTTCCTTTGCCAGTATACGGCCTCTTTCGCTCAATTTCTTCATTTAGACGCCTCAGTTGAGCCGAATAACGTTTGGCGTTCACGGTTTGGCCTTCTGGGAGCAGCTCGTAATACAGAATCCCTTGGCTGTCCCACCAAATGCATAGCAGAGCCTTCTTTCGATGGAGGCCGGGTTTTGGAGTCGAACGAGCCAGCTGACCAGGGCTTAGCCACTGTTTCTTGAGCACAGGATTCTCGTAGTAGACCCAGGATTCGTCCCCTGTCACAATCCGATGCAGGAAGCTCTTCTTTTTCTGTTTAGCGGCCAGAGAAATGCACACACTGAGACGGTGATTCTTGTTGGCTTCCGTGAGCTTATGCGGCACCCATTTTCCGGCCTTTAAGATCTTTCCAAGCTCACC